CTGCGGCCGAGGCTGGCGGGGCCGCCGGGCGGCGGGGCCGCTGCAGGATTGCTACGGCGGGCAGTGAGGCCCCCTCCCTCGCAGGGCGCGCGCACCCCAGCCCTTCCCCCGGGTCCGGCTCTGGCCTGCGCGCTGGGCACGGTGAACCCCAGCTCTAGGGCCCAGAGGCAGCTGGGGGCTGCCAGAATCCAACCCCGCCCCCAACCTGGCCTCCCCGTCCATCGGCGGAGGGGGCGCCGGGGCGCTGTGGGACCTGCCCGCACCCAGGCAGCCGCTGGAGGAGGCTGAGTGGGTGGTTGTGATTACGGAGGCCGTAGGTGTGCAGGGGGAATGGAGGCAGGTCTGTCACTATGTTGATGATTCTGGAAAGCTTAACGAAGCCGCTAGCTGGAGCTAGGAGGGAAGCAGAGTCTCCGGGGCCCTGCAGAGAAAAACACCCTGACCTGACCACCGACTCTGAGGAGGGGGAGCTGCCAGGGAGGGGAGGGCGAGTGGTTAGGGAGGGGAGGGTCCACTCTGCTTGGCCCTGAAAGATGAAGGAGTGGACCACTGGAGGACTTCCACGGGCAGCAGTGGGCATGAGGGGGACAGATTCTGAGAAGGACAGGGAGGGACAGCTGGCCTGGGTGACGAGGTGAATAGACGTCCGGGATGGGAAGGCAGATGGAGGCCAAAGCACACGAGGGAGCAGGGATGGGGCAGTTCGAGCTTGGGAAGTCTCAGAGAGATGATGGGTGAGGTAGGTTGGAGAGGAGATGGGGAACAGGGTGGAGGGAAGGTGGGGACCCAGGGTGGGGCTACATTAGAGAGGAGGGGATTGAATCTCAGTGTCCCAAGGCCCTCCACTGCTGTTTAGCTAGCCAGTTGGCAGGTTTGGAGGCCTAAGGCAGTGAACTGTCAGAAAAGGGGATTTATTTCTAAGCCAAACCTGCCCTAATGAGAAATGTGTGATGGATGACTCAGATATGGGATCTATCACTGAGGGAAAACGTTAAGCAAATAGCAAAGCAAAAAAGATTGGGGGGAGGGGAAGGATTTGCTTGGCTTAATGGAGAAAAACTATTTACCTTCAAATTGGATGTGGATAATTGTAAATGAGTCTGGTTTCATCATTAAATTAAGGCCTCAGGTCCTTTTCTTATAAGCATGTCTTTAGCAGTTAGCTTCTATATTAGAAAGTAATGAAGCTGTTCTGTCTTGACAGAGTTCTTTATTTAGTTCAGCCCCCTCTAATTCCCACAGGCCTCCCAGAAATCCCTAGGAAATCTGATGCTGTGCAGCCTTCCTTGTAGTTTAGGGGCCTCCACATAGGTGGGAAGCTTGTGGAGGCTGAGGGAAATTGAAGTCTAAACTTGAAATTGAAGTCTAAACATGTCTGATGGGTTGGGCTGATCTGAGTGGCAGGGAGGGGTGGAGGGCTCTGGGGCTGTGGGGCATGAGTGTGGCTCATATTTCCAGCTCATTTGGGAAGGGGAGTATTTTGGGTGAGTACATTTCCCTGATAGCTGGAGTTCCTGAGCTTAAGCACTAACACTTGTGTTAACTATGGAGCATGGAAATCTGTCTCCCCGTATTACGTCCATCGCTGTCTGACATCAGGACACTCCTGGTGTCACTGAAATTTTTCTTCAGGACTTCGGGTCCGGTCAGCGCTGGGAACATCAGTTTTTGCACTAAGGGGTTGTATGGCAAGGGGGGCCCTTGAGGGAGTGAGCTTTGCACGAAGTGGTTTCGGCAATGCTTTTTTTGGTCCCATGACTGATCTTTGGAGTTCTTTTCTCTCTTCAGTGACATCACTGGTGGTTTCTCCCGCCTGCCTGCAGTGAGCTTTCCAAGTTACTCCAGACTCCTGTGCTCCAAGAAATCAGACCATCCAGCTTGTCGAAGGTGAGAAGCCTGTGTTAATGCAAGCATGAGGGTGAGAAGGGATGCTGGGATTTGGGGACCGCTTTTCCTTCCTGTCCCTGTCCCTGTGCAGCTCTGTCTGGGCACCCGAGGGAAGCAGGCTGGCTGAATGTCTGAGATGCTCAGATGCCTGACAGCCGGGGTGGGCACTTGAAGGTTTGTGGCAAGGGTCCCTTCTGAGGAGGCTGTGTCCGTATTCTGGTGAGGTTGACTTCTGAACCTCCTTATGGGAATTCCTCCATCCTTAAACCGTAACCTGCTCTGGAGTCATACATCTTCATTCTGTGGAGCCTGATTTGGGTTTGACACCAAGCTGGGCAATACTGTTTGGAGTCAGAGATGCAATGTGATCATAGAGCCGTGTTTCCACAGCATCCAGAGACTCCTAGAAAGTGTTGTAGAACAAGTGGCCTGTTGCTGGCTGCTTGGTTGGACATGTGAGGTTTGGACTATGTGAAGAAAAATGACCCAAATCCAAGCATCCTTTCAGATTATGACCACCTAGGGCCTGAGCCCGTGGCCCTGAGTCATGGGGTCAGGGGAGAAGGAAGAAGGTCAGGCGGGATGATGTCACTGCCCGTGAGCGTATCCTCTGAGTGGGTGGCCATTTCTCATTGCTGTCCTTTTCCCACACCCCCAGGGCAGGAGTGACAGGGAAGTCTACCAGCAAAAGAGGGAAGGCATAGCCAAGGCCTGGGGGAGGGGAAAGAAGGTGGGAACCGGTCCATGTGATCATTGAGGAATTTCCTTTGGTCTCGTTGGCTCAGAATGGACCAAACATCTGGGAGAGGGCCACATGTGCTGTTGTGTAACCCTCGCCTGCCGCCCCCGGTTCTGCCACCCCTGCAGTATGAAGTTCCACATAGGAGCACTGAGTTTTCCGGTTGCGGGGGTGGAGCTGTGCTGGACTCTTAATAGACATCATCTCATTTAATCTTTGTAGCAGCCCTGTGAGGTAGGGTATCATTAGCTCCATTGTATAGATGGGAAACCGAGGCTCAGAAAGGGTGAGTCACATGCCCAAAGACACACAGCTGGCAAATGCTGGAGCTGAGAGGCTGTCTGCCTCCAGAACTGGCTCTTTCTGTCACTCTGGAGGCAGGCACAGGCTTCAGCCCTCTTTCTGGAGCCTGGCAAGATGTGCTAAGGGTCCCCACAGTGAGGCAGAGAGGACTCCTCTGGGAAGCTGGGGAGATGGCAGGCCTGACTAGTCGTCCTTGCAGCCTGGTTGGGACCATTGCTAAGAGTTCTTACTCATCCAGTGGCCTGGTCCTCGGCACAGTCGTGCCTCCGGGAGTCCCTCGTCCACCCTCCAGTTCTGACCAGTGCTCCCAGCCAGCTGCCCCCATTCTCCCTCGTTCTCTTGTGGTCCAGAGAGTGGATGCCTCCTCCACACTCTTAATACCTTTGGGCATTTGGCCTTCCCAAGGTATAGGGAGGGTATGTTGGAGGGAAACCCACTGGGAGTGGGGAATGAGAAGCATTTTTTGTTAGGAGCCTTGGAGCAGGGAGGGATGCTGCCTCTGGGAGGCAGGGCTCCCAGGCCACCCTAAAGTCCATGTAGGCTCCCAGGACCTGGGACTCCCCTGGGAGAGACACTGGAATGTGTGCTTGCAGGGGAGGCCCTGTACTGGGGGATGTGGCAGCAGCAGGGGCAGTAGGGGCTTAAGCCCACTACTAGGTGGCTGTGTCCTGGCTTCTGGGAAGAGGAAGGGGGAGAGGACCACTAGGGATGAGCCAGACACAGAGGTGGAGCCACATTGTGCATTTGCTGCTTCCGAGCTGGGGTGCTGGTGGGGTTCTAAGTGGAAAGAGGGTCATAGAAGCAGTAATGGTCCCAGGGACCTAGATGTATAGCCTGACAGAGGAGGTCTCAGCTGGGAAGAGTGGGGTGGGGGGCAAGGGGAGGCTCTGTGTAGGGTTGCCCAGGAGGCCTGTCCCTGTGTGCATGGCAATAGTAACAAAAGTAGTGATGATTGGGTGCTAGATGCTCTCCTAAGGCCTAAAATAAGACGATAACCTATCGTCTTATTTTATTCTCACAGCAGCCCTGTAAGGTAGGGATTGTTACCCCCGTTTTAGAGATGTGGAATTGAATCTCAAAGAGGTTAAGTCATTTATACTTGATCATGCGTCTAGCAAGGCTTCTGAGTCAGAATTTGAACCCAGGGGTGCCTGCTCCTGAGCTGAAGGTGTACCCTGGGGCAGGTGAGGCAGCCTGATGATTCCATTTAACAGCTGAGGAATTGAGGCCCCGGGGGCACTTGTGAGTTGGCTCTTAGTCACCTCTGATGGTAACTGATGACTGAGCATATGCCCTTGGGTGGCCTGCACCCCTTCTCTAGGCTCAGATTCCCATCTGTACAATGGGCGTGGAGGTGGTCACTGGACCAGGTGAACTCCGAAGGGCCTTCAAGCTCTGAAGACCGGTGGAGTCTGCTCCAGTCCTCAGGGGGAATCCTTGGAGAGCCAGAGGGGCTGGCGCTTAGGTGGAGAGTGGTCCGCAGAGTTGTTCTGCTAGGATGAGCCTCTTTCAGGGTGGAAACCTAAAGAATTTGGAGGCAAGAACACATCTGGAGAGCGAAGTCTGGAAAGGCTTCTGGAAGGGATGGGATTTCCAGACATATTTAGGTGGGCACCTAGCAGGACTCAGCAGAGGTTGAGTGGATACAGATGTGTGTGCTGCAGGCCTGCCAGGGTTTGAGCCGGGCTCCACCCCCTGATTGGGTCTTATGATCTCTCATCCCTTCCCTTCCTCTTTCCCCTCCCCTGGTTCGCATCCCGTCTTCTGGCCAGACCTCTTCTGAGCTCAGTGTAGCGTTCACTTTTTTCACGGTTCTGTGCTTCTGATGATATGTGTGTGTGTGTATGTGTGTGTGCTTGTACACGCACGTGTGCACCCACGTGTGTGTATAGCCTCTGCACACACTTCCAGTTCCAAGATAGTGTCACGCTGCCTTGTCAAGTGGCTGTCGAACCCTAGAAGATGCAGACTCATTTTGGGGTGGCCCCCTGGCCAGAGGAGGGTATGAGAGGCAGGCCAGCTGCTGCAGCAGAAGTCTCACCAGGCTCTCAGACCCACGGAGACGGGCTGGGTGCTCTCTGGTTTTGCCTCCTCTGGTTCTGATGCCCTGACTTCAGTGTGGAGAGGCTGCTGTGGTGGGGATGGTGTGGCATGGGAAGGCCAGGGGCTCTGCTCTGTCTTGTTCTCCTCTCTTCCTTGTTCTTCCTAAAACCATGAGGGAAGCAGGCGAAGGATGCCAAGAAAACCTTGGCCCTGCTCTGCTGGGCTGGCCCTGATGACATACTGCTGTCCTGACTCATACAGAAATCGCTTTGAGAAGAAGAATTGATTTCTTCTCTTGGGTGGGATCACGGGGCTGGGGAGTGGTGCCCAGTGGACAGCATTGAACACACAAGGCCCAAAATGACTCAGATTATTAGGAAAAGAGAAGGTCAACAGGGAGCTGTTCCCAGGGAACTGTGGAGACCCCCTCCTCTCGCTCTCCCTAGTCCCCCACCCATTTATAGAGAACCTATACTAATTAGGTCAGTTTAGATAATTTTGCTCAGTTGAGTCCTATAAGCATACTATGAGGGTAGAGTTTATAATCCCTATTTTACAAATGAGCAAAGTGAGGCTTAGAAATCATGTTTTCCCAAAATCACATGGCTAGAAAGTGGCAGAGTCTGGATTTGAACCTGTATCTCCAACTCCAAAATCATCTTCTGAAGGCCAGGGCTCACTTCTTCCATGAAGCCTCTTGTGACTACACTAGCCCAGCATGTGATGGTGGCTAGGCACCAACACGGGATGGTGGCCAGGACCTCCTTTGAGGGTTGAGGAGACAGAGACCCAGAGAGGTAATGGGTTTGCTCTAGGGATTCTCGCAAGTGAGAGTTGGAGCCTGGTCTAAAATCCACATGAATCTTTGATGTTGCTGTTTCCTTTTGTTAAGTGCAAAAGAATTACATGCTCATTGTCAAAGTTATAGAAGTGTATCAACTAGAAAATGAAAGTAGACTCTTATTCTCATTCCCACCCCCCAGGGTTGGGTTCATTTCCAGACCCTTTCCCATATGCAAACTTGCAGCTGTTCATCTCTCTATCTACCTAAACACACATGCATTCATTCATTCATTCATTCATTCATTGAACAATGCACTGAGCACTCATTGTGTGCCAAGACCTTGCTAGAATCAGGATGCAATAGTAAATAAAGCAGACGTGGTTCCTGCTCAGGGAGTTTCTAGTATGGCATGAGGAAAATGAACTGTGCAATGAGTAACAGGGACTTCCTTAGAGTGGCCGACCTCTGACCCAGCTTTTCTGCTAAGGTGATTCTCAGGATAAAGAGGTGTCACTCGTTCATCCAGGAAGAAGGAAGCATCCTGAGAGGTAGGGAAGAGGATCTCATGTTGTAGGAACTGGCAGAGACCCACTGTGGTGAAGGCTAAATGGGAGGAGGTGAGTCGGGGGAGGTGGGCAGAGCCAGACCAGATAGGGCTCTGTAGAAGTCTTATGGCAAGTAAAAGGAACAGTCGTGGGATTAAATATTGAAAGTAATGACATGATGCAATTTATGTTTTTATAGCAGTTATTCTGGCTGCTGTGTAGAGTATAGATTGGAGTATAGAACTGGATGGGGGGACGAGAGAAAGTGGGGAGACTGGTGAAGAGGCTTTTGTTGTCATCCAGGCAAGAGATGATGGTGACTTGGCAGACCAGAGAGAGAAGCAGAGGTGGAGAGTAAAGATATATCAAGGGTCGGCAAACTTTTTCTGCAAAGGGCCAGAAAGTAAATATTTTAGGCTTTGCAACTATTGCAACTACTTAGTTCTACTGTTGTAGTGCAGAAGCAGCCACAGACATTACGTAAGTGAACGAAGTGTGGCTGTGTTCCAGTGAAACTTTATTTACAGACGCTGAAATTTAAATTTCATGTAATTTCCATGTGTCATGAAATATACTTTTTCTTTTG